CACGCATGCTTCAACTAATTAAAATTGACTTAAGTTTGTTCAGCAAACGCAAATTGTTTCCCTAATGGTGTAATGTTAACCTGAAGAGGATTCTCAAACAAAATAGGTTTTCCTGGATATACATCAATATTTAAACTCTTACACCTGTCATCGTCAACGATCAAACAGTTGAGGTTGTAGAGGAGTACAAGTACCTAGGGACAATCATTGATAACAAACTGACTTTCACTCAAAATACCACGCAGTCTACAACAAATGTCAGTCTGGCCTCCACTTCCTGAGAAAGCTATGCTCATTCCACATTGATTCCACTTTTATGTCTCTGTTTTACAAATCATGTATTCAATCCATTTTAACATTTTCTATGCAGTGTTGGTCCGGACCTCTGTCGCTTCAAAATAAGAACAAATTAAAGATGATTGTTAAAGTTGCAGGAAAAATTGCTTGTTGTTATTTTGATAGTGTAGACACCCTGTACATGTCATCAGTTATAAATCTTTCTTTCAGAATCTTACAAGACCCAACCCATGTTTTAAACCCTTGTTATACACTTTTACCATCTGGCCGTAGGTATCTTTTACCAAATGTAACGTCAAAGAGAAGTAAACACTCTTTTATACCAGTTAGCATATCCTTTTTAAACAAGTCTTAAACATTATTCTCTTAGTATATTTATTGTTAGATGTTTCTCTCATAAATACTGTTGTTTACTATGCATTCAATGTCATTGTTGCTGCTCATGTCTTAAATGTTGTTTTCTTATGTTCTCAACTCTGATGTACACAAAATTCCCTTTCGGGCAATAAAGCATTATCTTATCTTATTTCGAAATTAAGAACAGTTTCGTTTTCCTATACGAACACTGTTTCCTCCAGGTTGCTCAATAATAGTGTTCAACGTCGAGGACGTTGCTGCTCCTGCTGTAAACTCCGCCACGTGTAAATGACATGACTGATACCAATCTGTTGGACATAGAATCACGAGCCAAAGAGGAGAATACGTTGAATGTCTTCACCTTTGCAGTCCCCTATCTTTTGATATCACAAAATGTTCATTGTTGGTGCTGTTGAAACGTATGACCCAAAATGAGCCAAAGAGGAGAATATGTTGAATGTCGTCACCTTTGCAGTCCCCTATCTTTTGATACCACAAAGTTTTCATTGTTGGTGCTGTTGAAACGTATGGCCCAAAATGAGCCAATGAGGAGAATCTCTTGAATGTCTTCAAGAATGGGTTGATTTAGTGTGTTATGATGTCATTGGTAGACTGCACACGTCGAAAAGGGAGAAAAAGAATTGGAATAAATCCTTGCCATTTTACCAGTCTGGCCGCCCAGCCTGAAAAGGTGATAGTTGTTCCCACTGATAACACCCCCAATAGCATAACCGTTATGAGTAAATCTAACTACTTATATTGTTTTATCAAAGAACATGCCTCGTATATGCCCAGTGTCTTAACCGAGAAGGAAAAAGTAACACGCATTGGTACTGTGAACTTTTGACTTTAAAAAAAATAAAACCTGATGACATATTTAATTTGAAAGCTCGATAACAATCTTAACAAGAACAAGCATGTTATTGGACCCGGCAAATGTAATACCAAATCCCTTTCTCAGAGGTTGACCATAATCCTTCATATAATGAAGGAAGGACGCTCCAAATATTCATAGAAAGTATCGGAGTCGGAGCTGAGTAAATTGACATTATGTGGATTCTCTAAAAGGATTTGCTTGAATTTTAACAGTTTCAGAAAAGAACCAAGTTCGGTCATGTCAAGTCAGTTAAGCTGTCAACTTTGTAAAATCTCACTTGACAAACTTAGGGGGGAAAATCGATTCACTGATCCATGGAGGTTTTGCTAATCTGATTTATCCATCTAAATTAGAAATATAAGAGATCTGTGGAACTCTATGCAGTGACACAGAGATTGGATGATTTCAACTTTCCAATCGTCACCTTTTACGTCGAGCCATATTCCAAAATCTAGTTTTCGGTGTCTATAACTGAAGTTTTTGAAGTACAATTATGATCGCTCTTTCTATTCAAATTTCAGTTTTCAGAGAATAATTGGTATCATAGCAATTTGAGCAGAGATTTTTGCATGATTTCCTACGAGAAACATCTTTTTTAAAACCATAAGAAAAAAATTATTTCTGGAGCGAATTTCAGATGGTCTGTCCCGATATTTTATCATTCATGAGACGTCAGATGACGCAGCTATTTGAGACCAAATATGTTTCGTATTTCTATGTTGTTTCCGCGGTAAGTGAAAGTACAATGTCGGCCAATCAGAGGTCATTCTCAATGAATGACAATCGCTAATAGCGGCCATAGGGCTTCTTTAACGGATATCGCTTAATTTTCCAAGCTACGATTAGGGTCGCTCTTAAATCTATAAACGACTGGTTACATTAGTTAGGTTGCGTCCTGGTGATGCATCTTAGCACAGATGAAAGTGCGCCGTCCTTTTTGAAGTGTCTCTTTATCTTGACCGAATTCAACCTTTCTCCTTTCCTTTCATTCGTATTTCGGTTTCGCCACTCAAGAAAACCGGTTTGCAAACTCATTTCGCTGACATCACGTTAATGTATTTCAGCTATTCATTTTATGACTGGAAAGGAGTTTTTTACACGTTTTACATAATATGCGGTATTAAAGTAAGTTAATAGTCAAACTGAAGCATAAACTGATAATCATGTTCTAAATATCCCATCCAATCGGGAACCGGTTTGACCTTGGCTTACAGGTAGCCCTAATTACGATGTAGAAGGACTAACGGTAATAAATGGTTATATAAAGTACCTTCACGACATTGTGCGCATGATGAGACTACAAAACAAAACATGACTCCCACACGAACGATAAAATTCGGGATAAAGTTGTAGGGGGCGGAAAACACGAATTAGGTCTCGTGTCATATCGCGAGACATGAAAGAAACATCTGTCTTTAATGGCGGCCATTATACTCAGTTCAGCGATATTGCCCTGTCGTGGTTTGATCGTCAGTTACTCCAAAGGGGCTAGGTAAACATGAGGGTAAAACGGATATGAAATATCCATGTTATTTTCTGAAAGTATTCAGTCATCATGAAGAGTGCAACCTCGTTAATCCAGACACATTCAAAAGGAAATCCCATTTCCCAAGGGTTCCTGCTAGGAAGGTCCATTATGGGTAATAGTGCGTCACTTTCCAGTGATGCTTCTTCCAGTAATTGAACTTCCTTTAACTGGGCCATTTACATGTATATATCTTCTGGTATCTGGTATATCCAGTCGTGTCAACCTGTGAAGATCCGGGTTAGAATTGGTCTTCAGCAACCCATGCTTGTCGTAAGAGGCGACTAACGGGATCGGGTGGTCAGGCTTCCAGACTTGGTTGAGACATGTAATCGTATCCCAATAGCGAAGACCGATGCTCATGGTGTTGATCACTGGATTGTCTGGTCCAGACTGGATTATTTGCAGATCACCGCCATTTAGATAGGATGTTGTGTGGCGTTAACCAACAAACGAGCAAGACAAAACTGCTGCCGGAAAGTAACATATCAACTTCCCTTCTGTAGGATAATGAAATTCCCTCTGATAAATCGCGATTTTGACTCAACATTGCCTACAAAACAATCATTACTACCCATGTAATAGAGCCTTTCATGTGAGGAATCGAACTCTGGCTCGGCGTGACGAGCGAACGCTTTAACTACTGAACTAACCCAGCGCCACCTTAATCATTTAGAAGCGGCAACCACTTCTTCAACCCTCAGTCGTCAAAGCCACCTGGTATCCAAACATTCATTCACAATAGCAGTTCACAATAAGTACAATACCGATTGTTGTGTTGTACTTCACATCTGCAATTATGCAGGGAAATGTACAATGCCTGTAGTATTCCAATTATCACAGTAACATCTGCGGCCTTAAAGCACGATTCACCCACAGCCCCATCAGTGTATGTTGATCTCCAGCAGGTCCCACATGAATATCGATATACCTTCCAATGGTATCTTTATTAACTTGATAAGACTAATTATTATTCATTTATGCAAATGACAGTCATTTACATAAGATGTATATATTAAAGTTCTCTTGAGTCTCGTCAAGAACAACGTCTCCAGACGCCAATCCGAAGTTGGATCACCAGGAGGTATAGGATCCAATACCACCCCCCTTGGGCTACCGCCGTCTATCAAATTACGCTTATTGATCATGTTTGACGAGACATGAGCGTGGTGTCAAAGATATGTCATGCGATACAGTATGATGTACCAAATGAAATAATGTTTATTGAATCAATATTTAACCAAAAAAGGACAAGGTGGTTAAGGGTTCCTACGTGGCCTCGGGATTTGCATGATTAAGAAACTGAAGTATATTTTTTATTTGTTATGAAGATGATCAGCTGTGTTCATGTCAACAAGGGGCGGTGAGGTAGCCTAGTGGTAAAAGCGTTCGCTCGTCACGCCGAAGACCCGGGTTCGATTGTCTACATGTGTACAATGTGTGAAGCCCATTTCTGGTGTCCCCCGTCTCAACATTGCTGGAATATTGTTCAAAGCGACGTAAAACCATATTCACTCAGTAAGTGAGTTGGGTTTAACGCCGCTTTTAGCAATATTCCAGCAATATCATTGGACACCAGAAATGGGCTTCACACATTGTACCCATGTAGGAAATCGAACCCGGCTTTTCGACGTAATGCCATAACCACTACGTTTTCCATAAATTTAACTACACTTCCGATGTGCCGAAATAAGATCCTTTAACCAACTTCATTTGGATTCTTTAAGGGACGGTGGGGTGGCCTAATGGTTAAAGCGTTTGCTTGTGACGCCGTAGACCCGGGTTCGTTTCCCCACATGGGTACAAATGTGTGGAGCCCATTTTTTGTGCCCCTGTGATATTGCCGGAATATTGCTGAACGCAGCGTAAAAATATACTCACTCACACAAAACCTTTAAAAAACTAAATGTGTCACTGTCTGAAGAATGTTGTTGTTTGTTTCAGGGCTACTGTCGTATAGAAGAATGGTGAGGAAGAAAGATCTAGGGAAGGTATTCTTCATCTACTTGTGTCTCTTCTCCGTGTGCCCCGCTCATCCGTGTGGGGAGAACCCACTGCGAGGCTTCATGTCTTTATCCAGGCTCACAGGTACGTTGCTGACGGTCCCAAATGCCGAGTGAGTGAGTGAGATTGTTGGCAAGTTTGATTTGGTTTCGTTGTTGTTTGGGTTCGAATCCCCACATGGGTACAATGAGTGAAGCCCATTTCTGGTGTGCCCCGCCGTGATATTGCTGGAATATTGCTAAAAGCAGCGTAAAACCAAACTCAGTCAGTCAGTCAGTCGTTGTTGTTTAACGCCGCACACAGCAATATTCCAGCTATAGGGCGGCGGTCTGTAAGTAACTGAGCATGGACCAGACAATCCAGTGATCAACAGCATGATCTACGCAATTGGGATACGATGACATGTGTCAACCAAGCCAGCGAGCCTGACACCTCGATCCCGTTAGTCGCCTCTTACGACAAGCACGGGTTGCTGAAGACCAATTGTAACCCGGATGTTCACGGGTATGTTGGCATACTTACATGTTCAATATCTACGCTACACATCAAAAAGTAACAGTATCAAAATAGATACGACCTCTTAATGACGGATTACTCGTAAATACGACGTCTTGGTGAATGTCTTAATAACACACAAAGCTTTAGACGACTAGACATGGACTGGAAATGAGCAGCGAAACCGTGATGAGGAATTCCCCTTTAACGTTCAATCCATGACGTCTTCAAAGATGGTTTCTTTGGAGTTGGTATTCTACAAATGGATTGCTTTAAGACGGCCTTACACACAATTCATAACGAGATCGCGATTCAGTGGCATTAGTGTACGGACTCAAACCTATTACTTTAAAAGGTTACCTAATTGTCTTGAAGTTCAAAGTCAAGGTCATTTATCAGTATAGTAAGTCGAGGAAAACGTTCTTGTGACATTAGTTTCATGGTTTACGTAAGTGGTTTGTAGAACACATTCACAAATGTGTAGGAAAGAAACAGAAATAAGAAAGGATTAAAGAAAAGAAAAGCACAAAGAGAAAGAAAGAGAAACGAAAGGATATAAGGTGGCATGCGATAAATCTTTCGTGGGATATGCTTAATGGCATAAAATATGTGTTGTGAAAGACAACTCAACTGTTCAGTTCCCCGAGCAGAAATTATCATGTATGATGTGAAAAACATTCATTTGTGTAAATTAGTTTTGGGATTTCTTTCAATAAAAAATATAGCATATGTTATATTTAGGATTACACTTTCTCAGTAAAGTACAGATTCTAATACTTTTGTTGGGTTGAGTCCCATCCGGGATTCGAACCCACACTCTCAGTCAGGCACCTAATCGCCAGCACACAAAGTCAGCCGTCTAACCCACTAAGCCACCACAGTTTCTGCAAAAATGGAAGTCAGACATCTAGTAGTCCAGACCATGGACTTTGTGTACCCCCGTGACGAATGTAAATGGCACGGCCCCCACGGATGGCATTCACAATGCCATAAAGAAAGTGTAATCCAAAATATAACATGTTTTACATTTGACGACCTTCATAATGTCATTGTGTGTTCATTAAACATGGGTTGTGAAGACTTAAACGTATTCACAGAAATGGGTTGTGAAGACTTAAACGTATTCATAGAAATGGGTTGTGAAGATTTAAACGTATTCATAAAATGGGTTGTGAGGTTTTAAACGTATTCAAGATTTAAACGTATTATTAAAATTGGTTGTTAAGATTTAAACGTATTCATAAAAATGGGTTGTGAAGATTTAAACGTATTCATAAAAATGGGTTGTGAAGATTTACACTGACTGAACCGATTCCTCTGCTCAGTCCGTAGAGTAGGACCCAATAATCAATATTCTCAGACAGAGAATGCAATATTTGTATTGTACGCATTTACTTTATCTGATTAGGTTGTGTGTCATTAATATATTGTATAAAATACAGAGTAGTGTACAACGAGCATAACATCGCGACGGTAGACTTATAGCTTATGTAAATATAAGAATAATATACTGAGCTGAGATGAACATGGCGGTTGACCGAAATAATAATACCATAATTGAAGCTTCGCTCTGTCAATATTTACTTCATAGTCGAAGACATTTCCCAGGAGTGTGTCAATATTATAAATATTTCCTTCTATGAGGAACATTGTGAAAACATGGTAGTGGGCTGCAGTTGTTTTCTTGTAGACACGAAGCATTGTGATTTCAAAAGATGAAATAACTCTTTTAAGATTTAAAGGAGGTGTCAATACTTGTTTTGCGCTTTTCCATTATTGAATATTTGCAAAAGAAACCCCAGCCCTAACAATGCTATTGTTATGTTTTCTTTAACGGCGTAGTCTATGGCGTGGTATGTGTACAATCTCATGGTGGTTTCGGGATAGCGTCAGCATCGAATTCGGTGCTGAAGTGATCAGAATTCGTTGTTCGAAAGACGTGACTTATTCATAATTATTTTTTAAATGAAGCATTACTTCCTGAATATGAATGGGTGAGTTTAGTTTAACGCCGCTTTTAGCAATGTTCCAGTTATACCACGGCGGTGGACACCAAAATTGGGGTTCACACATTGCAACCATGTGGGGAATCGAACCCGGAATTTCGGCGTGACGAGCTAACGCTTTGACTACTAGGCTACCCTACCGCCCTGTCTCATAGGTACCAGTGTTAATATCTGGTGTTGTTAATGAGATCATGAGGTCTGATCTGTCTTGCGATGCCATTGGGATATGAGATCTTCCTCGTGGGGGTCCTTACACCTCACTGCCATGCATCTTAACTCGGCGTGCAGACACCTTCGGGGCTTGTACCTCTTATTATACATTGTGACTGAGTGCACATCATTTTGTGGTACAAGAATGATGTTTCATTTGGAGATGTGAAGGTCATGGGTCAGTTGCACACAGTTTAATGAGGATTGTCTTTTCAAGTTAACATCGTTGGTTGGGGCAATGGGGTTCGGTAAGGTAACAATTCGCCTTTCAGAACAGCAGAATTCAGTGTTCTTTGATTTTAATCCCGGATACGTCATGATAATGATTATTGACTTGCTATCAACATGCCTACACCAACCCGTAGAATGAGCCTTCAGTAACCCATGCTTGTCGTAAGAGGCGACTAACGGGATCGGGTGATCAGGCTGACTGACTTGGTTGACTCACTCACTCACTCATACCTACACCAAGAATACACAATGCCATTTAGAAACTGGTCATTTGTCCGACTGCCATCTTCATGATTGCCGCGATGGCTGAGCGGGTTAGATGGTTGACGTTGCGAATAGCGTTGCCTCTGAGAGTGTGGGTTCGAATCCCGGATGGGATTCAACCTAAGACAAAGTACTAGAATCTGTACTTTTCTGAGAAAATCTAATCCCAAATGTAACATACGTTACACCCAAACCATTTTCATCTTGATATAAAGTTGTCAGTGGCATTAAACCAAACAGGCATTATCAAATACCCTGTTTATATTTTTGTATTTTATTACTTTCAGGCAAGAACGTCAACCACCTACTTGGCATTCTACGCTCTGCTAACACAGACCTATACGGGCGGTTGGAACGAAACTGGCAATTGTACGCGAACTGCGTGGGAATGGTAGACACTGGCTACTTTAAGCGATCCGGAAGTCCCGCACTGTCCGATCGGGCCTCAAACCAAATGACCCGGACATTGCCTGTTCAAGCTCTATCTCTGCATGACCTTATCTATTACGACAGGTATGAAGCCATTTTGATTTATTTTGATTTTTTTTTATTTATACATGTAAAGATGTTCTTTGCTTGAACATATTTTTATGTGTCATATTCACTATTTGATCTTATGTAAGGGTCGTCGGTGGTTCTTTTGTATACATTATCACATCCTCAACTCGAGCTCGTTTAGCTGGATAGTTCACTTAAGACGACAGGACTTATATGGCAGAAACTTTGGCTCTATGGTTTTACGCCGCTTTTAGCAATATTCAAATAACATAACGACAGACACCCTAGAAATGGGTTTCACATATTGTATCTATGTGGGGAATCGAACCCAGGTTTTCGGCGTGACGAACGAACGCTTTAACCACTAGGCTACCCCTCCTCCAAGATATTTTTAAAGGAATTATGCAGGGATGCCATCTTTGAGTTTGCCTTTTACGCACAATGGAATCTGTTCCGCTTAAAAACAGGACGGAATATTCTCCGGAGTTGGTGTGAATTTGAACGACTTTGGAACAATTAGCTTGGAATATAAAAAATAGTAAAGACGCTAAAGAGCTACTTAAAAAGAAGAATTATAATCTCCATGGCTGGTATTGTATGTTCCCGACCATGACTGAACACATTAATGAATAGCATATTGAATTAAGAAATCAATGCCTCCATGCATGCATCCCGTACAGTCACGTGGTGTATTGACTCCACGGACACTTCAGTCTACGGTCACTTGAAACCTCCAGGCTTTTATTGTTTATGAACAATAGCGGATGTTATTAACAGACTTATTGATTCTGCATCTGCAATATGTCACAAAGACGACGACTCCGAAGGAGGCGGGGCATTGTTAGCGCTTGAAGAAATGCCTTATTTGCGTCAAGACACCGGAAATGGCAAAGTAAAGATGTTTGTCTTCGGCCTGCATGAGACCACAGACGCACTATCAAAAGATTCATTTATGAATACACCTCTGTTTATTTGCAAACTCAAGCATTTACAACTTTGAATGATATATTTAGCTGCCTTACAAATGAAATCGTTCAGATTGACATATTTGATTTATTTGGAACAATGATTTCGCTCCGTGTGTATATAGACCAAAATTGCCATAAATGTCCAACAATTAGAGGGTCCAGATTAATAATGTACGGACCGGCGAGGCCTCATTTACGAGTAACTGGAAGGGTGAGTGAGTATGGTTTAACGCCGCTTTTAGCAATATTCCAGCAATATCACGGCGGGTAAACCAGAAAAAGGCTTCAAACATTGCACCCATGTCTTCCGCTTGACGAGCAAACGAGTAACTGCAAGTGAGGGTCAATGGCGTTTTTGAAACGGATTAAGGTCTGATAATGAGAACAAAATAAAATAGATTCGTTTAAAATATTATTTTATTCCTTTACAGAAGCAACGCTGATGATGACAGTTTGTTGTAAGACGCTTTTGGCTGTCAACGCATATCGTCATGGCGAAACTGGTGAAGCTTCCGGCACAGAGCGCATGTCAAGAAAGGGGTGTAAAGAGGAACATTTTTATGAGATACTTACAATTTATTTCTTCAGTCATTTTGAGGATGTATCTGCAACGCATTGCGGTGTCCCCGTGCATGGTGTTATACTGTATCAAGACAGCCTACTGTAGATATTTATGTGGACTCAGCGGAACCGGAAGTAGCCCAAAGCAGTGGTCGCAGTGATTATGACAGGACCGAAGTGAATGTGTGTCCAACAGGAATTGGATAAAACATTTTACAATATTCTTTACTTCTTCCTTGGTCACGATTGTGATCTATGTTCGTTAACACGTAACTAATCTGTGTTCTTTCTGTGTCGTTGGAAACTGTGGGGCTTAAATGAAGTAAAGTATTCGAACATTTTGCAGTGTTATTGTTTAGACTTTTTGAAATGTTTAAGCTGAACAGTGTTTCATCAGTACGTATCTCCGTATTCTGGATTACAGGACCCTTAAAATGAATGAGTGAGTGAGTGAATTTAGTTTTACGCCGCACTCAGCAATATTCCAACTATTGGCAGCGGTCTGTGAAAACGTTAGAAGAGTGGGTATGGTTTTTACGCCGCAACCCTTGTCATTTAGGAAGGAGCCTCTTCAATAGCGTGAGGGCAACCCTTGTGGTTTAGGAAGGCGCCTCTTCAATAGCGTGAAGGCAACCCTTGTGGTTTAGGAAGGAGCCTCTTCAATAGCGTGAGGGCAACCCTTGTGGTTTAGGAAGGAGCTTCTTCAGTTGCGTGAGGGCAACCCTTGTGGTTTGGGAAGGAGCCTCTTCAATTGCGTGAGGGCAACTGTTGTCTTAAACTGTGTAAGAGAAACGTTTGTGGCTTAGGTAAGGGCAACCCTTGTGGTTTAGGAAGGAGCCTCTTCAATAGCGTGAGGGCAACCCTTGTGGTTTGGGAAGGAGCCTCTTCAATAGCGTGAGGGCAACCCTTGTGGTTTGGGAAGGAGCCTCTTCAATTGCGTGAGGGCAAACCTTGTGGTTTAGAAAGGAGCCTCTTAAATAGCGTGAGGGCAACCCTTGTGGTTTAGGAAGGAGCCTCTTCAATAGCGTGAGGGCAACCCTTGTGGTTTGGGAAGGAGCCTCTTCAATTACGTGAGGGCAACCCTTGTGGTTTAGGAAGGAGCCTCTTCAATAGCGTGAGGGCAACCCTTGTGGTTTAGGAAGGAGCCTCTTCAATAGCGTGAGGGCAACTCCTGTCTTATACTGTGATGGAAAAGAGTTTGTGGTTTGGGTAAGGGCAAATCCTGTAGGTTAGGAAGGAGCCTCTTAAACTGTGGAGGACAACTCTTGTTTTAAACTATGTAAAAGAAACGCTTGTGAGTGAGTGAGTTTAGTTTTACGCCGTACTCAGCAATATCCCATCTATATGGCGGCGGTCTGTGTAAATAATCGAGTCTTAATCGGGACGACAAGAAACCACTTTGTGACATAAAATATCCTAGACATGAACAAGCTGTAGTCCACTGAGCCTGGACACGGCGTCATGTCGGTTGGTTGTTGTCATATGGCGGCGGTCTGTCAATAATCGAGTCTGGACCAGACAATCCAGTGATCAACAGCATGAGCATTTGGGACATGGTGACATGTGTCAACCAAGTCAGCGAGCCTGACCACCCGATCCCGTTAATCGCCTCTTACGACAAGCATTGGTTGCTGAAGAGCAGTTCTAACCCGGGTCTTCACGAGCACCACGGTATGGCTCTAACTAACACAGAAACAAATCACACATGACTACAATCATAGGTTTCTGGTGTTCCCAAGGGACACAACTCTGTACAACCGGGCTGGCACTGACCTTCTATCCGCGAAGGTAACATATGCACGCACTTCAAGGACTCCGTGGCATTAGCTGACTGCTGGTGTATCAGTATGTGTATTAGTAGATAGATTGTTTGACTCGAACCCACATTTTCACATGGTCTATTCCATGAGGACCTTTGAAACAATGAAACTGAAGTGCTGATTTAAATGAATGATGAATGACGATGGTTGTACTAGCATGAATGAAACAGAACGAGGAGTGGAATTTAGAAGCTGGTGAACAGGAACGATTGTTTATGGAAGGACAACTTCTTTTTTGCAATGGATGCGACGTTTGGGTGTAGTTGCTCACACCGTTATTAAGCCAGTACGTCATCACCGTTATCAAGTCAGTACGTCATCGCCGTTATCAAGCCAGTACGTCATCACCGTTATCAAGCCAGTACGTCATCACCGTTATCAAGCCAGTACGTCATCACCGTTATCAAGCCAGTACGTCATCACCGTTATCAAGCCAGTACGTCATCACCGTTATCAAGTCAGTACGTCATCACCGTTATCAAGCCAGTACGTCATCACCGTTATCAAGCCAGTACGTCATCACCGATATCAAGCCAGTACGTCATCACCGTTATCAAGCCAGTATGTCATCACCGTTATCAAGCCAGTACGTCATCACCGTTCTCAAGCCAGTACGTCATCACCGTTCTCAAGCCAGTACGTCATCACCGTTATTAAGCCAGTACGTCATCACCGTTATCAAGCCAGTACGTCATCATCGTTATTAAGCCAGTACGTCATCACCGTTATCAAGCCAGTACGTCATCATCGTTATTAAGCCAGTACGTCATCACCGTTATCAAGCCAGTACGTCATCACCGTTATCAAGCAAGCAAGTTATCACGTGCTTGATAACGGTGTTTACATCTACAGCGAAACGTCGCATCCATTGCAATAAGGAAGTTGTCTATCCACACAAAGTTAATTGTTCCTGTTCTAAAGAAAACTAGTTTATAATCCGCCGAATAGTATATGAAGGGACAGTGAAAATCCATGGTTGCACTTGGTTGAAGAAGGTCAGCATAACCCGCCCTACCAGTAGAACGAACCATTCACACAATTTGCGTAAAAACAAGTTTTCATTGTTTGACGCCGCCTGGACGTACTGTTGCCATGCGAGGGCGGCCTCAAAACACACCAGACAATCAAGTGATCTATTTACCAGAATATCCAGTGATACGATAGTGCATTTACTGACGCAACATGGCTTGCTCTGGTCTAATCGACATAATGGATTTGAAAGGCATTTAAAAGTGGTACACATAAGGAAGGGAGTTTCATGGACGTCAACTTCTTTATTATGAGGAACACAACGTTTCGGAGTATATCCTTACTCCTTCATCAGGTATATACTCCGAAACGCTGTGTTCCTCATAATAAAGGGGCGATGGGGTAGCCTCATAATAAAGAAGTTGGCGTCCATAGATCCCTTCTTTATGAGTGAGTGAGTTCAGTTTTACGCCGCTTTTAACAATATTCCAGCTATATCACGGCGGGGAACACCAGAAATAGGCACCACACATTGTACCCATGAGGGGAATCGAACCCAGGTCTTCGGCGTGACGAGCGAACGCTTTAACCACTAGGCTACCCCACCGCCCCCTTCTTTATGATATATGGGCTGTTACGAAGTTATTACTCCGGGCTACACGTACGACGAAAACTACATCGAAACGTGCGCACTGCTCGCAACTATACTAACGAAGATCAGTGATAATTTCTCGGTGTTATGTAATAATCACATGTCGTTAAGAATCCATTACGGATGAGAACAATATTCCACGTAACTTCAGTAAAAACCCAACTCTCCTGGGTAACGTTTTCAATCACATTTGAAAAGCATTTAAGATGAATGTGATAATGACTCAAAACCGCCATATTGTTGCGCCGGATGTGAAGAGCCGTGTCAGCTGGTCACTGATGCTGCGGCGTCGGTGGGACCGTTTTGGCATCTTCCAAGATAACCTTGAACGAAAATAGTTTCAATTTCACGTCTTCCTGAAGGCATGTTTTAGACTTTGTAGCTTAATAGAGTGAGGATTTAAAAAGGTATTATGAAGAACACTTCGATGACTATATTACAGATATAAAGAGGTGGCTGGCCTAATGCTAGTGTAGTTAACGTGACGTCACTAGGCAGCAGGTATATACAGCCGCCTTGTTGCATGCAAACGGTGTTGCTTGTTTGTGTGACCCGTGAAGGTCCGGGTTAGAATATTGCCCTTCAGTAACCCATGCTTGTCGTAAGAGGCGACTAACGGGATCGGGTAGTCAGGCTCGCTGACTTGGTTGACACATGCCATCGGTTCCCAATTGCGCAGATCGATGCTCATGCTGTTGATCACTGGATTACAGACTCGATTATTTACAGACCGCCGCCACTTAGCTGGAATATTGCTGAGTGCGGCGTAAAACTCAACTCACTCACTCACTCACTCACTCACTCATTGTTTGTTTGCTGTTTAACGCAGCAATATTCTAACCATATGGCGGCAATCTGTAAATAATCGACTCTGGACCAGTCATTCCAATGATCAACAGCATGAGCATCTATGTACACAATTGGGATACGATGACACGTGTCAACCAATTCAGCGAATCTGACCACCCGATCCCGTTAGTCACCTCCGAATACAAGCATGAGTTGCTGAAGACAATTCTAACCTGGATCTACACGGGTATGCATTCAAAGGGAGATAATGATGGTTTTTTTTCTTATTTTCCTCATACCAGATGTGATGATGGTTTTCTATTCAAATCTACGAACATTGCCTCAGGATTTTAAAAGACAACTGCAAATGCTCATTTTTCAAAAAAGAAATAGAGATGTTTTTAAAGGTCACATGCAACCAAAAAATCAAACATAATTAAAACACAATTATCACTTCTTCATGACATATAATATGCATTGCTGATTATGAAAAAACAAATAAACAAAATTATAAGCGTATAATCGCAAATCAAAAGTGCAATATTTTGTACTTGGGTTTACCTCCCACGAAACGAAGCAGCCGGGATACCGAACCCAGTCAGAGCGGGTGGGTGTGCACTCAAGTGTAACGGCTGGTTCATTTGCAGATGCCGCCTTCACGGCTCATTGTGTGTGTTATATATAGAGATGTTGGGTTTTGTAAATACATGCTCATTTTTTGTGTATAACATGTTGCAATCAACAGACATCATAACATGTCATGTGTTCAAGTATCACACCTGCCTGTCTGTGTAATTACATAATGTGACAGAGACCGAACTCGGGCCATAAATCAATGCGTTTTGTTTATGGTGTATAGCCTGATTGGTGTTAAGTTCAAATTGCATGTGGTCACTGATCGCAGTTGTGTATTGAATATTGTCATTAGCAGACAGGCAGGCAGACACACAGGTGTCAATAAAACAAGACATTGAGTTTTGTCTGTGACAGCGACATATCTATATCACAGTTAGAAATTGTGTCAACGCTAAATAATGACATTGCTTTTAAGTATGGAACTGAGAAAGGGACTCGGTAAGAAGAACGTGTGGTGAAATAGACAAATGAAATT